TCGACAAAATTCCTATGGAATGTGATAATACCAGCGCCATTTGCATATCAAATAATCCCATTCAACAGTCTAAAACAAAACATATAGAAATTCGATATCATTTCTTAAGGGATCATGTGTCTAAAGGTGATATTGAATTGATGTTCATCAATACTGAGAATCAATTGGCAGACATTCTCACGAAGCCGCTTCAAGAAGATAGATTTTGCACACTTTGTCGAGAAATCGGAATGGCAATAGAAAAAGATATCCATAACCACTGCTGAACAAACTTCAGGATCAATACTTCAAGCATTTCGGTTGATCGAACCATAGCTTCGGTTTACCGAACTGAAGGAAAATCATTTCTCTTTAAAAGCCATTTCGGTCGACCGATTCTTCGGGGCTCCAACACGTAAGGCCCATATCTGTGTTTAAGTAGCCCGCGAATCTTATTTTGTCTTTAATCTCAAAACCCTTTTTCTCTCTCGCTCTCTAAAGGCGATTGCGAATCTTGCAAATCTTGCATATCTCTCGCTCTCTCTTCTCTTCGATTCAAGGTAAGTTGCACTTCACCATTCGAATCCATCATCTTTTCGTCAGGTTCACTTCTGGTTATTATCTATCTATCTCTGTTACATCATTTTAAACTAGATTGTGTTCGCACTTAACTTGGTCATTCATTCACAAAATCTTTCATCTGTCAAAAGGAATCCATGGCTTCCGGTAAAAATCCCTCTAGAACTAATAGAAACCTAGAAAAACGCTTTAGGGATTCTCATGACATGGATGCCGGGGGGTCTAATCCACCAAACCCTGAGCATTCCGATCCTTATCCCGCTCCAAATATGCGTCTCTTCCGCGAACCCGAGTTCAAGGAAGTCTATGAAACTCGATTACTCTACAAGATTGTTGAAAAAGGAATTTTTTTTGATAATACTGAAAATGAACCATTGATTCAACATACTTTCTTACTATTTAATGCTATAGGCTTAGGTGAATTTGTATCACTCAAAGTTCCTTACTACCCTAAGCTTGTAAGGTTGTTTTACACTCATCTGGAGAAGTCTAGGGCAAAACACTTATGATTCCTTCATCGTAGGCACTCATAATCACCTTACCATGGCCAGCATTCGGCGCATTCTCAAAATTCCTCTCGGCGATATTACCTACTTCACATCCTATAACTGGTACTGTGGGGAAGAATTTAATCCTCTCTAAGTAGTTCAACAAATGAGCCATTTCCCCACTGAAAACACTAACAAAATCATAGCAAGTCAGTTAACCATTCAAGCACACCTCATTTATCATATCATCATCCATACCATCCTTCCAAAATCAAGCGGACACTTGGATGTGTCATTCATGAAAGCTTTTCTCATATGGTGTGTCCTAAACGGAAAGAAATTTGATCTTGCCTTCATAATCTATCACAGCATGCAAGATTGCGTTAAAAAGGAAAAAACACACCTATTCTATGCCATACCTCTTACCCTACTCTTCAGAAAATACAAGGTGCGAATAGAAGGGGAGGATAAAAAGGAGCTTACCAATCTTTACAGAATAGACAGTGACTTGCTGAATCAGATGGGGCTTAAAAAAATCTGAAGACCACATTTGGTATGACCCTAAGTTTGGAAATCCGATAAATGAGGGCCAAGATATTGTCATGACAGAGCACCAAGCTGAAGGTGCTAAAGTAGGTGGAAATGCAGACAGCGAAGAAGAACAAGAAGAGGAAGAAGAAGGAGAAGAGGAAGGAGATGAAGATCAACAGGAATCTATGAATATCCCTTCTTCCGACGAAAGGTCTCTCTGAGAGCTTCTACTTGAAAGTCTTGCTCTTTCTAAAGAGCAAATTGCCCTTGGCAAAGAGAATAAAGAACACATTCTCGAATTACGCAAACGACTAGAGGAACTAGCCAATGAAGTCGATCTTGTGACGAAAGACCTTGCTGACCTCCGAGTCACGGGACTTCCTCATTTTTTATGCCCTTATTTCCCCCCTACCTTTTTGATGCATGACAAAGGGGGAAAATGATGTGTAATGAAGGTTGTTGATGAAAATGAATTCATAAATTAAATGAAAATACATGTAGGTTGTTGTGATTAAAAATATAGTTGAAATGCTGAGAATAGGATAATGGTGTAGAGGTGATCATTGACTGTACTGAAATCAAGTAGATGTGATCTTTGACTTGACTGTACTCTGAATTCATAAATCAAATGAAAATACATGTTTTTGGTATCTATGAATTGCATGTTCTTGATTCTCTTATATATGATTTCAATGTATTGCTATTAATGTTCAGATGAATGCACAAGGAAAGGGGGAGATTTGTAAATCTCTTATATGTAAGATCTTGCTTTCAAAATTATGCACATTGATAGGGGGAGAACTGCTCACATTTTTATTCTCATTTGATTAACATGTCAATGAATTGTCATCATAAAAAAGGGGGAGATTGTTGACTTTGAATCTAAGGCTTTTGATGATCATAATTCATTAATGATGTTTTATGTACACTAATGTCTACTTGAGTGAAATTACAGATCAAAGCCTTCATCAAGACAAGACACTATAATAGAAAAGCAAAACTGAAAAAGCAACACCAAGGCATGAGAAAAAGGACTAAGGAATCAAGAGTCAAAGTCAAGTCTTCAACATCTCATCAAAATGGGGTTAGTTAGGATGGTGAGCTCTTTAGGAAACCTTGTTAAAGTATATATGAACATCTTGAAGCTCAATCTCTCTCAAAATTATGCATAGAAAATCATTCATCAAAGTTAAGGATCATTGGACCAAACTCAACTCATCAAAACATGTTTCTAAGTTATATGTTCCATTTCGGTCGACCGAAATGGAAGGATACCTTAAACTGGTCGACCGATTTTATCAAAAAGCTTGGGTCAAAATTTCTAAGAAATATCGGTCTACCGAAACTCAGGGCCATTCTGGTTCGGTCTACCGAACCTAGCAAATTAAAAATACACACTTGAGTTTCAGACGATCGAAACTAAAGAGGTAAGTGAATCAGCAGCGCCTATTCTCACAGAATGTTTTAAAGCTTTTGAGGAAGGAGTTTCGATCGACCGAAACAAATGTAAGTTTTCATCGATCTACTGAAACATGGCTAGTAATCAACTTCGAACCAAATCAGTCGATCGAACCTCAAGAGAGTTCTATTTCGGACGATCGAACCTGCGAAAATTCAAATTTTAAACTTCCTTTTTTCCTCGAAGTGTGTGTCCAACAGTTAGAATTCATATCAGATAGTTCTGAAAGTCTATACAATGACTGGTAGCCTTCATAAAAGGTTGTCGCATTCACTGAGAAAGATTTTCTTGCAATCATAAAGCCTTTATTTATCATACACACTTCTCATCATCAAAAGAGTATCGAGCTTCAATTTATTCATTCATACTCTAGAGTGAGCTGAATCTTGTATTTTAGATCTAAGAGAGATCACTTTGTACTTCATCAATCTTGTTCAAATATTGTAAGGGCTGTTGTGGTCCAAGAAAGACTAAGAGAAGGTGTTTCTTTTAGCACTTAGAAGCAAGGAAGAGCTTCTTGTAAAAGGTTTGCCCTCCACCTGCAAGGAGAAGCCATAGTAAATTGGGAAGTCTTAAGAGGGGTCTTGAGCCGAGGAGTAGGAGTTTCCGAACCTCGCTAAAATCGCTGAGTATATGTTTTCAATCTCTATCTCTATCTCTTACATTTGTTGCTATATATTTTGTTTGATGAATATTATCCTTTGAAGTTTAAAATTCAGATTATTTTCTTCAATATTTCTCAAGGAAGTTAAGCTTTGTTCTAGTTGATTAATTAAAACCCAAAATTGACCTTAGTTTGCTTAGACTCTATTCACCCCCTTCTAGAGTCTATATCTGGGCAATAGAAAGAATTGTAAAAAGGAAAGGATTGTAATTGTAAAGAATGTCATATATGGAATGGATTGGAGGACAAGCCATGCGAATTCTACCATAATTCCACCACATTGTTTCTTATAAATAGAGGCTTAGATCTCTAATAAAATCATCGAGCATTATATACTTATTCTGAGTTTTATTTTTACTTGTTCTAGGTGAGTCGTATTTTTCTTTTTATTTATTTTAATAGAAAAAAATTTTGCACCTGCATCAAGGCTAACATGGTACTTTTAAAAAGATAAAAGACTTATTTTGACATATTGCATATAAGAAGATCAATTTTAATATTTTATTTTTTTAAAATTAGTTGACTTCAGACCGGCTGACGGCCAACTGGGGGTCATAACAAAATCAACCAAACCTGAGAGGTAGTTTTAAAATTTTTTTTGCACTAGTTTAATCCGTGAGTAATAAAAACAAATTTGATGGGTGTGTCAGAACATTTAACCCTTATTATTATGTTGAAAAATTAATAAAATGTCAATAGATGGCGCGGCTAATTTTTAGCAATCATCGGCAAATTTTAGTGAAAAAATGGTGGCACTCCAATGGTATTTATCTTTATGCTAGAAAATTTATAAAAAGATCAAATAAACATCTATTTAACAAATGAAAAATGATTTTTGTCTCGAGTAATTACAATAAATTGTTAGACATCTTTAATTTGTCATTTATGTAACAAATAAAAGAGTCAGATCCTCCACTTGCTTATATTAGTATGCACAATTAATAAAAAATTATTTGGTTAGACCTTCGTGTGTGAGTATCATCACTACTCTTTAGCAAAATTGACTTCAATGGTTGGTGCACTTTAATTCCACATTAATGACAAGACAAAGTTTAGAAAAAAAAAATAACAGGTACTCTATAATTAGTTAATTTAATTCAATTTTTATGACATGACAAAGCTTAGAAATTTTTATAAACTAAGGAATGACATCACAATCTATTGTAAAAATTACTTTCATAAATTATGAAGGAAAAAAAAAAGTGCATAAATAAAAAAATAAACAAAAGGAATGATAAAAAAATAATAATACAATAAATGTTGGCCTGCAAAACAATGTCTATTATAAAATGGGTGAGAGTGGGCGTACAGTACAAAGGAGGAAATCATGCGGACAGCGAAGAAGAGAAGGGAGAAGGAGAAAGTCGTCGTGGGTTCCAAGCGCTGCTAGCAACCGAAAATGGCGGACTAACTGTTATATACAAATATATATATATATATGTATATATATCTATTGTGTGTGTAATGTGTATATGTGTATACATTTATGTCTCATAGGGCTTGGTGGATCCGATTCTCTGTTTTTCTCTATCTCCTCTGACACAGCAATTACGCGGTAATCCGACTTCTCTGCCTATCTTCTCTCTTTACACTCAACCAACTATTCACCTCCCAATTCGATTCTTCACATTGTCCTGCTTTTTCCTGGATTTTAGTGTCAAGAAGATATTTGTGTTCTTAATTTCATTTTTCATTTTTGAATTGTACAGAGATTTTCATGAATAAATCTTCATTTACTTGAATCTATTAATACTTATGTAATGGGTAATACTTGTTTTGGAGGTTTGAATTTCTTTTCCCGGTAAGTGAGGTATGAATTTTTTTTTGGATCCATTTGACTTGTTTTTGAAATGTTGATCGAATTCTGAAGCTTTTCCATTTTTGTGCTAGTTGAGTTCTATTGCTTCTTGATCTTTCTGAAAATATAATATATATGCAGTCAAAGATATTAGTAGGATAGCACGTTCTTTTGTATTTATATGTATATGTTTTTCTCTGCACTCATAATGTGAAATCTTAAAAGTAAGAAAATTAACTTGGATTTAGCAGTAGATTATTGAAAATGAAAAGAAGAAAAAAAAATCGTTTCTAATGCTGGGTTTTTGGTGATTTTGTGTGTGTATTGACATATGATTGTTTGTCTAAACTGTTTCAAATGTGTATTCTATCTTTCCCTGTAATTGCAGAATGCATAGAGCTGGACTTTTTTCACTTTTGGGAATGAATTGGATTGGTTTTAAATAAGATTCTTGCTTATGGGCTGTGGCAATGATTGATAGCTGTTGAGGGAAAAGATATGGATTCGGCAAAGAGTTGGTTTCAGAAGTTTCAGCAGCGAGATCGGTTGAGGTCTTCGACTAAGAAGAGGGATTCCCCTCCACCATTTGGAAGTGATGAGTCGAATCCTCTATCGGCCGAAGAAGCATCCACTATCACAAAGCAGAAGGCCGCTGCAGCAAAGCAGTACATAGAGAACCATTACAAGGAGCAGATGAAGAACCTACAGGAGAGGAAGGAGCGGTATGGCATATGACCCTTTTACAATTAATGAATAATTGGTTGCGTCATTTTTATTCAAATTTCCTTCATTGTATGTTAAATGTTGGATACAACACTCATTTGGCCCTCCAAATATTGGGATGCAATTCAGATTTTACTATAAACCAATTCACCTCATCTTTTTGATGGTCAAAAGTATGTAAGTTGACCATTTAATAAACAATTGCAATTGTAAGAGACTAAAGTTTACTAATTAATACAGTAATTAAGTGTTAAGTTTTCTATTTCAACATTAAAAACAAAATCTTCTTACAAGTTAACAAATTTTTTTCTTTTTTCTTTCTGATTTTTTAAATACACGAAATTGAAACTTGAATCCTGCACCACCTTCCCCTCTAGAAGTGGCTGGAGATACCATCAAGCTAACAACAGGTGGTTATTGATGTTTCAAACTACTTGAAAGAAGAAAACCATGTATACATCTTCCCAAATATATATGTTTCTTCAAGTTATTGGAAAGTGCAAAATTCCTTTTGAGCTTGAAGCTAGAAAATTTGTGCTTGTATCTATTTTTGAGCTTTTCTTCTATACAATCCATCGTCCCATATATATAGGGACTTTATAGTAGTTTTTTGTAAGTACAAGAAAACCATATGAAGATATCTCTTCATACCTCTATATGTTTCCATTAGTCTCTCGGTAAGTACTAGTTTCTATTTTGGCATACTCGGAATAAATCCAAATTGATTTCTTGACATTGAGTTCATGCTGAATCTTTGTTCATGCACTCTCTGTCAAAGTTCCATGGTACAAGCTTTAATTTGTTACCACTATAATTTTTATAACTTTAAATATCCCATTTACGTTCAAATATGGGTACTAAATACTTACGTGCCACTCGTTTGATATTTTCTTATATTTATAGCTTGTTGAAAATTTTAATTAGCGGAGTCTACTATCTAGGTCTAAATTCTTACCCACCCTAGTCCAGAAAAAGATTGGAGTCCTTGCTTATTTTACATAGCATCCGGGCGCCAATGTAGTGTACATTGCCAATTTCTCAACTAATATGGTTTCAACTGGTTACTTGGGCAACAAATTGAGGGCAGTATATGCAAGAGTGTAGGCTGTATGGCACCATTAAGTGACACTACAATCATTTATTTAAGGTAGGTTTATTTTTTGTATTTTTTTATTCTGACATTGTGGTATATGTGAGGAATTTGGCCAACTGGTTCCCATTTTTTGTATACATTATATGGATTTTGTGCACTCTTCTTTCTATAAGAGAATTCCATTTTAGAGTTCTAATTAATTAATGAAATAAATAAGAAAGAGAGTTCGTTCAAACAAAGAAAAAGAGGACCTGATTACCCCTGTCATTTCTGGTGCAGGTGTCAAATCCTGTGTTATTGTTATATCCGCATATGCGAAAAGAGGATTTCGAAGTGAATTCATTTTAACTAACTGGAGTATATAATTAGAATTGCTAGGGCAAGGAATTGAATTGAATTCATAAACAGACTTTCTCGATCAATTATCCAACTTGAAAGAAGAAAGACACAACTATGATTTATATACGAGAATTGTTTATCTTGTTTTTTTTTCTTTTTTTTTTTTTCATATTTTGTTATGATAGGTTTAATTTTTTGGATTTTCTATTTTTATTCGACCTTTATGGTATAGCAAAGAATTTTGCAACTGCTTGAGTTGTTAACTGATTAATTTTCTCCTTTATCAATCTATGAACCAGATGATTGATTGAAGGGTGTAAGTTGGGAAGACAAGGGTTGCACTTTTCAAATTTTGTTAGGAGAGCAACTCCAATGGTCTTCTATATTGGGCTCTCAAACTCATAATTTGAGAGATGAGTAAAAAACAGGTTCTCCAATGGCCCTTCATTTGGCCTCTCAAAATTTGAAAATCTCATTTTTTCTCTCAAATGTAAGAGCTGCCAAATTTTTTTGGCAAGTCTGTTTAATGGCCTACGACGCCGTTTCTTCACATCTCAGCCGACCCTTTCTCTCTCATCTGCAACAACCCTTTCCCTCTCATCTGCAGCGTCCCCTTTCTCTCTCATCTGCAACAACCCAAGATGTTGCTCAGCCGTGGTTCTGGGTGGTCCAATCGTGGCTCCCTTTGCCGTCGCCGTGGTTCTGGGTTGTGGCATGAGCTCCGGTGAAGAGGGCGGCAGCGACCGGAGCTCCGGTTTTGGGTCCCCATTCTTGCAGACAGATAGATTCCATTTGCTCAGCAGCTCCAATTGTCAACCTTTAAAGAGGAAATGAAAATAATCCAAATACCGGCACTAAGGGTTCAGATCCCATGAAGACACCTGTAGTGGTAGATTCCTCAGGTCTTCTTAGCCTATTGGTGGGATGGGGTGGTAAGATGAATTGAAATATATAGGTTTTGAGCTTCTGATTCTTGTCGATTTTGTAGTTTGCAGTTGCACAGAGAGAGAGAGAGAGAAAGGGCAAGTTCTCACAGTTGAGAATGAGATGGAGGCGATTGGGGAGGCTGATATGATTTACCCTAAAAATATATATATTTTTAATAATTATATAATCAAATAGATATAATATACACACACATATATATAATATATATATAAAGAAAAAAAATTATATAAAAAAATTAATTCACAAATAGTGGTAAAAAAAAATTATAAAAAATTTGTTTTTTTATTTTTGTTCCTTTTTTGACCCGATATTTTAGATTTTTGCTCCTTTTTAATTAGATATAATTTTAGTTTCCTTCTAATATCTTCAACTTGACTTGGAATGTGCCTAATATTAATATTATTGATGCAAATATGAATGGTAGAAATGGTAGTTGAAAAAGAATGGTGGTTGTGTCAAAAAATAGCATTTTGCACCCTTGGAGCAGAATTGCTAAATTGTAGCATTTTGGCACTGTAGCACCTGTCAAAATATAGATTTGGCATCCAATTTAACATTTTACCATTGGAGATGCTCTTATTTGTTTAATTATTTAGCAAAGCTACTTATTGATTATGGTGTAGTTTTGTAGCAGTTGAATGTGCTGGAGTATGACCCAAAAAAAGGATGTATGGGATTAAGAATTTGATCATTATTGCTGACAATCAACCCAAAAAAAAAAAAAAAAGACCTACTTATTGATTAGAGTTCTTTCACTGGTAGGGCACTGAATTTGTAGAACCTACAAGCACAGCATTTCATGGTACCCTCATTTTGTTTATGCAGGCGAAATTTACTGGAGAAGAAATTAGCTGATGCTGACGTGTCTGAGGAAGATCAAAATAACCTATTAAAATTTTTGGAAAAGAAGGAGACAGAATACATGCGCCTTCAGAGGCATAAAATGGGTGTTGATGATTTTGAGTTACTGACAATGATTGGAAAGGGTGCATTTGGGGAGGTAAACATTTCAGTGAAACATATGCCGATGATTTGCCCTAAGTGTATTATTTTTATATTGTAGGTGTGCGTATTTATCCTTTGTCTTTTTACTTGTCACTTGGTCTTCCTAGTTGTTATAGATGATTGAAAATTGGATCTGAAAATGATTGCAGCTGACTAATTCCTGACCTTGTTTGGATTATACCTTATTGCAGCTATTTTCACCTGAGAACAAATATAGTTTTCTATTAAGTTGTTCATCCATGCTCTGATATCAGCTCTTTCACGGTATGCACAATCTGCTACTCGTGTGAGGGTATATGGATATTTATGACATGTAGGGCACCTATTTAGCCTTTGTAATATTTGTTCCTATACATTGTGAAAACACTGATATACACTATTCTACTTTTTAAATTATTTTGAATACATAAAGTCAATTGAAAATAGGGTGCCTAATAGAAGTAAGTACATACTATATCAGACATTATCCACATTTTGTTGAAGATATTTAATATGTTCTTATACTTAGTAGAAATTTAGAACAAAATGCTAAGAACTATTATGACCTTTCATGGTGGTTCACCTTTATTCAACTTATGCTATGGGTGTAATACATCCAAATTCGAATTTAGTGCTTCCAATTCAAATGCACGTAACTAGCATGCACTTTATTCCATAAAGTGTACACTAACAAAATTGCATAAAGTTAGGTGGTATTCTTTCCTCTTGTTACAAAAGATGACGAAACTGCTAAGAAGTGCGGACACTTCTATGAAGGTGCTGTGTCTATATCCAGCACCATGTTGTACATCAGCACTTCATGGACACTCCTAAACACGTGTCTGACCCTTCATGGCCGTGTTCAAATTTTATTTTATTTTATTTTTATTATTTCAGACACTTGGCCAACACAATTTGGACACTTCGCCGACACATCTCAGAATTGATCAATACATTCCAGACACTTGACCAACACGTCATACACTGTGTCTTGTATAAAACAAACATATGATAGCCTGGAGACAATATTATGAACCTCTATTTATTAAAAAAATTGACATTAAACACATATCACAGAATGTAATGAACAAAACATAACTATAATGACAAGATTATGAATTAATTAAAATTTCATAATTGTCTTTCTCAATAGATATACAAATGAAAATTCATATATATATATTAGTCGCGTCCACACCGTGTCCTTGTCCTTTTTTAGAATTTGATGTGTCAATGTATCCGTGTTGTATTGTATCCGCGTCCCGTGTCCGTTCTTCTTAGCGAAACTGTAGTTTATTCTTTTTTAAAATGAATAGTGAGAGATTAACTTGGTTAAACTAAGAAGGATGATTGCCAAGAGTTTGTTCCTTATATTTACTTTTTTGCAATCAAATAAAGAATTAAGGAAAAAGATGGGCATTCTCTCACCGCCATTCTTTCTCACAGTGCATACATGATTTGTTAAGTCCTCTATCCATTCTTTTCTCAAAGTGACCATTTGCACTTCACCACCCAAGGTACAAAATTAAGCCATCTCAATCCTGAATAGGAATTAATTTTAGCCTGCTTTGTCATCATCTGAGTCGATTTGTCTCTAATTTTAGCCTACGTTTGATAGGAGGGAAGGAAGGAGGAGGGAGAGGGGACTTCCATCCCTATGCCTTGAAGTTAGGACCATATAATACATTAAGTACACTTCCTGCATGTTATGTGTATGTGATGGATCCTTCAGCTGCAGACTGTCTATGTGATCAAAGTAGAAAAGAAGTTTGGTAGACATGATAATGATTCCCTTAAGTAGGTATCACTTCAAGGCCCATGCCTTGGCATAAATAAAGTCAAGTTAATGGTAATGCTATTGATCATATATAAATTCAACTCCAAGACCCATGCGATGGCTTATATAAAGTCAAGTTAATGGTAATGCTATTGATCATATATAAATTCAAGTCCTTTGTTTCTGAGATTTATCTATTTATTACTTCTTTTTATGTGTGAAGTTAATGTGTGATGTTGTGGCCCGAATTTTGTTTTAGGCTTTGTGTGGGCCCAAGCCCACCAAAACCACGGGGGTTTGGGGGCAGCGTTTTTGAGGAAAAAAATTTGACCCATTTTAGAACTCTCTTGTAGTCCGGTATATAAGGCGTTTAGGGTTTGGAGTGGGAGAATGAGCGAACACTAAAAATCGCAAGAAAGAGAGTGAGAGCGAGAGCTAGGGTTTGGGGCTAAAACTTGTAATCTCCTGATTTCCGTATAGTGAAATATTTCACCGGATCTTTACCGCGGATGTAGCCCATATTTTGGTGAACCATGTAATCTTTGTGTTCTTTGTGTCGCATGTTTGTTTTTGTGTTGTGATTCTTAATTTGTTCTTGGTTCGCTGCGTTTGTATTAACATAATGTAATATTATTAATTAATGACTAAAATATTTTGGTTACTTTGTGGTTATAGGTGAGAGTCTGTAGAGAAAAGACAACAGGTCATGTTTATGCAATGAAAAAGCTTAAGAAATCAGAGATGCTTCGTAGAGGCCAGGTTTGGAATTGTTTGGCCTCTTAGGAAATATTACTGTGGTTTTTTCTACTATATCTACTGGTAATTACCTTACTAATTCCTTCAGGTTGAGCATGTGAAAGCTGAGAGGAATCTCCTTGCGGAGGTGGACAGCAATTGCATTGTCAAACTTTATTGTTCTTTCCAAGATGAAGAGTTTTTGTATCTTATCATGGAATATCTACCCGGTGGAGATATGATGACTCTACTCATGAGAAAGGATACCTTGACTGACGATGAAGCCAGATTTTATATCGCAGAAACAGTTTTAGCTATTGAATCTATCCATAAGCATAATTACATTCACAGGTTTATAGATGACTGTCTTTGATGCATGATATTGTTTGATATGCTTCAATAGTTGTATCAATATTAGTGCTACTTCAGATACTCTTGACTCTGGAATTTTTTTCTTGATTCAGAGACATCAAGCCTGATAACTTACTACTTGATAAATTTGGTCACTTGAGACTATCAGATTTTGGACTATGTAAACCTTTAGACTGTAGTACTCTCCAAGAGAAGGATTTTTCTCCGGACAGCTTCAATGGAAATTCACAAAGTGGTGAACGCCCTGCAGCTGAAATACGCACACAACAAGAGCAATTACTGCATTGGCAGAAAAACAGGAGGACGCTTGTAAGTTTTCATCAGCATGACTGCATTTCTTCCTATTTGTTGCTCAATGATGGTATATTTATAAAGATAAATTGAAAATTTTCTATTATGTTTGTATTCCCTTGTTTTTTAATTTTAAGGAAATTGTATTTATCTTGTATGGATATCATGTCATGCATTGAATGAACAATGAACCCTGCTTTGCCCCTGTCATAGCAAATTCTGAAGTAAGAACCTTTTGTTTGCACTGTGTGTTGTATGTTCACAAGCTTTTGGCAGAATGTGATGGTGACTGCCTAGGAATTTTACTTTATTTATAACTTTTGAAATTGGGACATTGCAGGCTTATTCCACTGTTGGAACTCCTGACTATATTGCTCCAGAGGTTCTTCTGAAGAAAGGTTATGGGATGGAATGTGATTGGTTAGTAATTTACGCATGTTCATAATGGGGACTTCGGCTATCCTTTGCAAAAAATAATAATATAAATTATGTCATTTTTCATAGAACTTAACTTTTTTCTTTCTGGCATTTCAAATGAGTCTATTTACCTTGAAAATATTTGGTATATTTAGGTTTATGAGATCACAAGGCTACTTTTTTAACACAGTATTTTATTGTGGTTGTGTATTTCGAGGACACCTTTGTTCCTTCCCATTGTTATGAAAAGCTTAATAGGATGGACTCATTCATTAATGCAAAATTATGGTTGTTTTTGTTTTGCAGGTGGTCACTTGGTGCTATCATGTATGAAATGCTCGTGGGCTATCCACCTTTTTATTCTGATGATCCTATGTCAACATGCAGGAAGGTAAACTTAGTAGCGCTTTTGATATTTATTCTTAATGGAATTAGCAACATGTTAGGTTCAGTAGTTCTTTTATATGAAGTTCATGGGACGAACATTCCCTTCAATTTCTCTCTGTTTTCTTTGGCAAGAAACACGCTTACAAACCCATTCTCCTATGGGGACTTGAACCCTCGACCTTCTACTTTGGAAGGCGAGGAAGTACCACTAGGCTACAGCCTTTGGTGGTCTTCAATTTATCTCTTTAACCATGCAACAATCAGTTTCTGGTCACTTCAATAGCAACTCCTTATCTTCTTTAAGAAATTAGAGGGGATTCTTTTTGCACATTTCTTGCTTTCATTACAGTTTATTGAATTGGTTCCTCATAACTGTTTCAAATCTATAAAGTATTATGCTTTATTATTCTGGATAGTTATACTTTTGAAGAGAATGTAAAAAGTTAGAATATACAAGACTACTGTTGAAGCAAACCTCTCCTATCTATTGCATCCGTAAGTTGTTATTATTATCTTTATATGGATTCTGCTTCATTGGTGATTTTTTAACCAAGTTTTGTGGGTGTCCTTCAATGACATTTTCACTTAATCGTTATCCATATAGGCCATCTATGAACTGTGCTAGTTCGATTAATTATTATTTTTTTTGATAAGTAAGAATTTATTAAAAACGCTCAAAAAGGGGAGCGGAACCCAAAGATACAAAACAAAAGGCTAAAGGGCGCCTTAGACCTTCAGAGAGGCTAAAAAAACAATCATTTCCTCCGTAGATCTATAATCTCTCCCTAAAACCCAGCAAAAAAGAGTACAAATAATAGAGAACTTAAGCATAGAAACAGGCTTCTCTTTTTCATCAAAATATCTCCTATTTCTCTCGAGCCAAATACACCACCAAATACAAAGCGGCGTAGCCTTCCAAGCATCTTAAATGGAAGCCCCAACGGATACGCCTCTCCAAGCTTCAATCAACCCTCTATAAGAACAAGGCATAACCCATTGAACCCCAAATAAACCAAGCATCAAATCCCAACAATCTCTGGGCATACTATAGTGTAACAGGAGGTGATCAACTGACTCCTCATTGCACAAGCACATATAACACCGATTGACCACCACCTGATTCCTCCTCCTCAAATTGTCCTGGGTTAAAATCTTGCCTAGGACTGAGGTCCAAGCAAAAAAGGCGACCTTGCGGGGAGCCTTGGAACGCCAAATAGACTTCCATGGGAAGGGTTCTCCGTGATGAAACGAAAGGCATCTAAATAAAGATCTAACCTCAAAACGGCCTTGCGAGTTAGGAACCCAGAACCAACAATCCGACTCCCCAAAAGAGATCACCTGGCTATACAAAAGCTCCAAAAAGCGAGAAACATCCTCGATCTCCCAATCCTGAAAATGCCTCCTGAACTGAACATCCCAAGTCAGTCTCCCGTTATCAAGATGATAACAGTCAACAACCATGGCCTGTCGGTGAGAAGCAATTCTATAAAGCCGTGGGAAAGCGAGAGCAAGAGGGCGTTCCCCACACCAGATATCCTTCCAAAAACTGATCCTCCTTCCATCTTTAATTCGAAAGCGAACATGCTTGCAAAAATCATCCCAACCCCTCCGAATGAAATTCCAAACTCCCACCCCCCTTGGGCCACGCCTCGCCAGAGAGCACCACCCACCGCTACTTTCCCCAAGTTTGCTCTCAATAACTCTCCTCCAAAGCCAATGCCTATCTATCCCAAACCTCCATAGCCATTTACCAAGGAGAGCCTTATTATAAGGCAACAACCTCCTTAACCCTAAGCCTCCAAACTGAATTGGTCTGCACACTTGATCCCACTGAACCAAGTGAAACTCGAACTCCCCCCCCCCCCCCCCCCCCCCCAAAGGAAGTTGCCATTGCAATCTTTCAATTCTCTCGGCCACTGAAGAAGGAATCTGAAACAGAGAGATGAAGTAAGTAGGAAGGCTAGAGAGGGTGCTCTTAATCAAGGTAACCCGACCCCCCTTGGACAGGTACTGCTTTTTCCAACCCGCCAACCTCCTTTCGAACCTATCGACAACCGGATCCCAGCTCCCCACACATCTCGAAGGAGCACCCAAAGGCAATCCTAAGTAAGAAATGGGAAAAGAGCCAATACAACATCCAAGGATCTGCGCAAGCATCTCAATCTCAGGAACATCCCCAACAGGCACAAGCAGACTCTTTCCAACATTAACCTTAAGGCCAGAGACCACTTGAAACCAAATCAAAACACATCTCAAGTGCCTCAACTGGGACGCGTCCGCATCACAAAACACAATAGTATCATCTGCAAACATCAAATGGGAGACCGCCAATTGACTAGCAACATCCCTGCCCACTTGAAAACCTCTCAAAAAACCCAGCTCCACAGCCCTCGTCAGTAATCTGAACCTGAGATTGGGATAGTTTCTAGTTGAATCCTTCTTCTCAAGGGCCAGCTTGTTTAACGTGATGAAATGAAGCCTTAATTATGGTGGTATTTGTTAGTTATATCCTAATATATTGCGACGTTCTTTTTATTGCTCATACATCTATCTATAGTAGTATATAAGGGGATATTCCATGATTTCAGTCACTTGATAATTTTCAGTTTTGGGGTTGGATTTTGTTGTACTTGATAAAAAAACTAAAATAAAAATCTATGGTGTGTGGACCTTTGGTTCTGGATGGCCAAGTGAAAAAATTGGTATTGGACATAATTGTCTCATAATCAGACCTAAAAGTACCCTTCTGTGAAGGGGTCATTTTTTACTTAAAAGTTTTCAATACTAAAGACATATGTAGCCCGGTAAGGACTTAGGTTTGATTAAATGGGCTCAAGTTAAAAGCAACTCCTTTTAGTGGCACTGGGCAGTTAAACCAGCGAGATATGTTTATCCTTCTTTCTTTTAACCTCTCTCTTTTCTACAAGTACTTGATGGGTGATAGCATATCTGCTGATGCTATGATACAGTAACTTGTTCGCATCTTCTTATCAATTGATTCTGCAATCGTCTTTTTTCTTTTTCTTTTTGACAATTCAGAATGAATCATTGTATAAACTGGGCTCATAAATCAACATCTGAATGTGGGACTCTTCACCCAACAAAAAATTGAATAAGAAAAACTTAACTTTATTTTAATAAGAATGTTTCTGTTCCTTACCCATGCAGATAGTAAACTGGAGAACCCATCTAAAGTTTCCGGAAGAAGCAAATTTATTTCCAGCAGCAAAAGATCTTATTAGTAAACTACTTTGTAATGTCAATCAGAGGCTGGGTTCAAAAGGCGCAGATGAAATAAAGGTGTTGTATAGTGTGTCTTATTCTATGTTCTTGGATTTATTCCAAGAATGAGTTGCAAATAAAGGGAGTTACCTGGTTGTTTTTTTTTCATTCTAGGTTCATCCATGGTTTAAAGGTATCGACTGGGATAGATTATATCTAATGGAAGCTGCATTCATTCCTGAGGTCAAGGATGAGTTGGATACTCAAAACTTCGAAAAGTTTGAGGAGGTATTGAAATTTTCTTTTCTTTTCTTTTTTGTTAGTCTGTTGGAGTCACGTGTTTGCATTTCTTATTTTTCACTATATCTGTTTTATGTTCTGCCTCTTTTCGGATCTGCAGTCTGACAACCAAACTCAAAGTTCATCAAAGGCAGGTCCATGGAGAAAGGTAAGATGGAACAGTATGAAACTTTTACTATGAATAGCTGAAATCTTAGTTGTACTTTTAACTTTTATGAATGTATTTGTGCAATGTTAGTAGTTTTTGTTGCATTACAATTTATAGTTGTCTTCAGTTACATGAACTGAAGCATGTGATACTTCTCTATTTGTGTGTGTGAATTTTAAGAAGGGTGTTTCTAGCTTCTTTTTTTCTTGATGGTTCTTATTCCTCTCTGGCTTTACTCTTGTATAACTTGTGTGCACTTGGGTTGTGCCCCCTTTGGATTTTTTCTTATGGATTTTAGTTCTCATTTTAAAACAAGATCCCCGTTGGATTGACTGTTATTCTGCCAAATTAGCAAAAGTGGAGCTTATTCCAATAGATTATTGAAAATATAGAACTGCTACTGCACTACCAAAATTGTTGCTGAAAGTATGTGACTTTCACTCAAAGTTTTTAGCATTGAAGTTTAGTCTATGGTGCAGTTTCTTAATGAAAGCTCAGGAAAAACATCTAATATGGCTCATACAAAATACTCAAATTACAGGCCCTTGAAAAATCAAATTTGAAGTTTGTGGACGTTTAGATGATGAATCTGCTTATGTCGCAGTCATGCTTTTGGATTTCAGATTTAAGCTATGTGTTAGCCACCAAAAGTTGAAATCAAATTTTTTTATTTAGAATTTTAGATTCATTTACAGGAAGTTTTTTAAATGTGAGTTCCATGTTTAGTTTTAACAAGGTAGTTTTCGCGGTCCACTGACTTGGACTATGGAATACTTAAAAAGTGATGCCACTTAACGAATTTGTCTGTAAAATTGTAAGTGTCAAGTGCTTTCACAAGTGAGACTTCTTCCTTTTTCCACTCTCAATCTATGAAATGTCAATATTATTAATTTTTCATTTTGTTGCTGGACTGCCTCGTTATATTTCAAGTATTCTATGAATAGACATTGTTTTCTTCTCTTGTTTCTTATATAATTCTTGCTTCTTTCTCATTTGTTTTTTTTTTGTTTTTTGTTTTGTGTGTGTGTGTGTGTGTGCAGATGATCTCATCCAAAGACATTAACTTTGTAGGGTACACATATAAGAACTTCGAAATCGTCAATGACTATCAGCTGCCTGGGATGGGTATCTCTATCTCTCTCTTTCTCTCTCTCACGAACTGGCGTGCCTTATGTCTATATGGCCAAATATTAAAGACTTTATATAGTTAAAGTTTGTGGTATGTCTGCAGTTGTTGGGCATGTCTGACCATCACCATGCTTAGAATAATGGGGGCTCTGGCTCTGCCTGTCCATGACCACGTGGACACAAATAAATTTTCTTTTTAACAAAAAGGGAGGGGGTACGGTATGAGGAAGTAAAAAAAAACTACATATTTAAAGGGAAACTGAGGTTACAAATTCTATGTTTAAATTAAAACACTAAAGGACAGATATTGACATGTAATATCTTTTTTCTTTCCCCCCATATGTTCCATGAAAAATGTAATTTATACATATTATTTTCTCAAACTCTCTTCTATGACTAAGCAATATTACCATAATTCACTATTACTCGGCAACTAAGAAGCACGGACATGGAAACAACAGACACGGTGACATGACAAATAGTAAAAAATTAAGATATGGACACGTTGGGGACTTGATGACTAATCAATATATCTTTTTATATATATGATTTTGTATTGTAAGAGTAATATTATTTTTTTATCAACCTAACAATGAAAAATCATAATAATAAATGAGCTATAAAGATAAACTACTTTATTGTTTAAAGAACTACACAATTGAATCTACTCCACAACCGTAATAATAATTTTTTTAAACCAAAAATTTAAATATTTAATGTTATGACCACCATATTATTAAAAATGTTCAAATAAGTCATTATATTTACACTTCAAACCATCTTTCTTTTTAAAACTTCCTTAAAACTCCCTAACAATATCCATGGCATGTTTGTGCCATGTTCGCTGCATGTCTAAAAAAAAAAAATCTGGACATGTCTTTAGGCATATCTGACATGTCAGGCCATGTCCAATGCGTGTCGGTGTTCGACACATGTCTGATATGGGTTCTTTGACCTTTTAGGCGTGTCCATGCTTCCTAGCTCAGCAAATTGAGTTGCACAGTCTAAAACGTTTAGTAGAATTTTTAGGTTTTGAAAAACGAGTAATGTAGCATTTTGGGGTGACAAGGAAAGTGTAATGGCCGCACTAGACCATCAAGAATAGAACATATGTTGGAATATTTTGGACATGGATTACTAATGAAGAAAAAAAGTTATTAACATGGATATCAGAATTTTTTGGTAAGTAAGAAATTTGGATAAGTGGATTATCCAAACTTTTAGGCTTTTAAAAATGGACGGAGTGTTAGGGATTTGTGAGAATATTTTTTTATTTTCCTCTACTTAACAAATGGCAAACTACATTTGCATTTAATATCTGGTTTTCATTTTCTAGGTTCCAAATAACAGTATTAGCACAGTTACTTTTAGGACTTTCCAGCTTCCAAATAACAGTAGTAGCACAGTTCTCTGTAATGTGCATTGATCGAGTCATAATAGAGTCAGCTAAGTCCAAGTTCGATACTATATTGGTGAGAATTGGAATCACACAAGACTTGGCCGTGTCCTTGGGAACAGCCGAGCTCTTACGAAATTGGTCGAGCCTCTTTCAAGTCACTCTGATGGTGTGCAAGATCGAGACAATTCATGACTGCGATAATCGATTTTGTTATGCCAATACAGCTATTCATGTCTACATCTGTATCGGTGCCGCGGCCGGCGTGTCTTCAAACCATGAATGTTAGGAAACAATCTGGAATTTTATTAGGAACATGCAATTGGGTTTGGTTGTACAAACAGTCTGGACTATCAATATGACCCTATTTGGAAATGACAGTGCTGATTTTCTGTTTTTTTTTTTTCTCCTTAGTTTACACACCGTAATTCCTACAAACCTTATCATCTATTCATTGGTTTTAAGTTGTTGCCTGTTGCTTTATGATATACCTTTTTAAGTTGGGTATTTATATTCTATAGGTGACTGATTTAAATTTTATTTCTCTTTGCAGCTGAATTGAAGAAAAAAAATACCAGACCAAAACGGCCATCCATTAAGTCACTCTTTGGTAAGCTTCATTCATTTGGTGTTGCTTATATACCCTCGGAAATATATTTTATTCTGCAGTCTGTCCTGAGATGCATGTGTTTCCTTGTTAAATTCTTCGATTCTGATATGATATTTAAGGTTCATTCTTGTGTGCTTCCTTAAGAGTAATGGGGAGTTTTGTCCACTAGGTAGAGATTTTTGGTAGCTGTGTATAACATATTATCAGATCTTACAAGTGTTCTTCTGCCATTTTTCCTTCTCATCTGGGGACTGTTTGCATTTAACTTGCTTCCTCTGCCGAGGAAGTCTTTTAATATATTACTCGTTCGTTTCTTTTTTCCTTTGAACTTTTGACTTAAAACTACCTACTACCAATCTCCTCCAGCTATGCAATTTTTGAATGCGCGTGAAGCAGGAAAATGAAAGAAAATATGGAATCTTGGAGCAACAGTCCCAAACCAAGTTTCCAGATTTTCTATATTTCCTCTCTTTCCTCAACTAACCAAATGAGAGAGTATTAGGCACACGTGTTCTTGTACATGAACGAAATCGAGCATTTGTCTCTCATGTCTTTTGGCTTATTACTTGCAGAGGACGAACCAGATAACTCAGATGCAGATTCTAATCAACCCACGCAAGGGAGCTTTTTGAATCTCTTGCCTCCCCAACTAGAAGTTTCCGAGAAACAGAATGATACCCCGTAACCCTGCTGACCTGTCTGTACCATCCGAAGGCAAAGCTCCAGCCCTTGAAATGAAGTGCAATTTGACTTTTGTGTGAATGGAAAATGTTCTTTGTTCCCCTTGTACAATTGGTTTATTTGGTAGGACCTCGAGGCTTCATCAAAGGGCTTGATATCAAAGGTTTTGAATCTGCCAATCTGAAATGAGCCTACTTAGGTCATAGTCTCAGTATTTTTTTTCAAAAGAGATGAGAGGCAAATCCTAATTTATGTGATTTGTAATCTATTTTTTCCCCCTTAAAATTTCTAAGTGAAAAATGTTAGATGAACACAAAATAACATACCCCACCAATACTGCAACGAAATGTTGTATTTTTCCATTAATTAGTACTGATAATGAGACAATTTATTATATTTGAGGGCTTTCTGCTGTGGATCTTGCCATCTTGGTACAAAGATTAGGGCTGGGGTTGGATGGAGTTTGTCCTAAAAATAATAATGATCCGTCATCCCAAAAACACAATCCAAATTCAATGCATCAAATTCGGCTTCTGATATTAATACTTATTTATTAATTTATTTATTTATCTTGACAAGAAATTTATACATGTTTATGGGGAGTTGAACTCTTAAACTTCTATTTTGAAAAGTGAGAAAGTACTATTGAACTACAAGATTTCTAATTTGATTCTCATTTTAGAGGCTGTATCATTATTGCTCATAAACATCGTTGTAGAATAAAGTGGAGGCCGTATTACTCACAAGAGCAAAATTTTCTTATTTTTGGCAAGAAAGTCACACTCATTTACTCCAATAATTTATTATGAACAACGAAAAAAAAAATAAAGGCTTTAACCGATGGTAGAACATATATTTATATGTATAGTTATTGCTTTAGTCCTGGCTAAAATTAACATTATAGAGGAATGCTACACTGCTCAATTGATTTTATTTGCAATTTCAATTGACAATATTCAACAAGAACTCGTCTTTATTTATTTATTTATTTTCCCAGATCAGAAGTGTTAGGTAGATATTAGATTAGTAGATGGGAGATGTTGACACTTCAAGGTTCATCGGAGATAATAATTCATTGGGCTGTCGAGACAGTTTGTCTGTATTAGACAACAATATAATTTATCTCTTCTTGAAGTGTTTATTTCAATGATTGCTATTTACGTCAGTAATAATAATTCGGTCAAAATGCAACACCATGAAATAAAATAATAATGTAATGTAATTATTGGGCGTGATGTAAAGTTATTAATTAAGCAATTTAAAGACACATGAGATGACCAGAGATTTCAATGGCAAGAGTTAGGGACCGGGCACCCGCCTCACAAATACAAATCTTTTTCCAAGCCCAACCCAATGTATATACCTTTTTTTAGGGTAAAGTACATTGACACTCCTTAAAGTTTGTCAAAAGGACACTAAGATGAAAGTTAGCCTATTTTAGGACAATGATACCCCCTCAAGTTTGATATAGCTACCAAAGACACCCCAATATTAATGAATTGACATTTTTGCCCTTTGACTTTTATATTGACCAATTTAAATGTTGAAATGACAATTATAATCTCATACCCTTAACCATTTGTTTCCTTCTCCTCTCTGTTATCTCTTCCTCCCAACACACACATACTATTACACAGATACACATATATAGATACATATATATACACACACACATATACACACAACCACACACACACACACACACATATATATATATATATGTGTATATATATACACACACAAGGCGGCATGATTGTGAGTTTCCTCAACTTTTTCTTCACAGCCGGAAACTGAAAGAAGGCCACCATCTCCGGCGGATCAAAGACAACCAGATCGGTGACGGATCGAGGACGTCGTCGATGAAGAAGACAAGTAGATCGGCGGTGAAGTGTTGTGAGGTCCTCCCGGTCCAGGGGCAAGCGCTGGAGTTAGGGACGGTCTAGGAGCCATCGCGTCAAATATAGGCAGAACCGGAGCTGTGCCGGTGGGGACAGGCGCCGCCAGTTTCTTCAACAGGTGGGTCCGGACGGATCTGGTGGATGCGAGTTCGTCGTTATTATCCTCGACTCCAAAGCCGACTTTGCCTCCTTTAATGGGTGATGGCAGAGATGAATCGGTGGCGGCGTAGATGAGGGTGACGGCGAAGAGCTTCAGCTTTGATGATGTCGGCTGTGATGAAAGCGGCGGCGAGCTCAGTGATGTGCAAGGCTGAAGACGGTGCTGTCATGGCTCGGCCGTGGATGGTGGCGACGGCGAAATTAGCTTTAGATGATGGTGGCCGGCGAGCAAGTACAGCCAGAGAGAAAAATCCGGCAATGATGGATTCGTTGTTCTGTAAAAAGCAAGATCAGCTTTGTGTGTATATATATATGTATCTGTATATGTGTATCTGTGTAACAGTATGTGTGTGTTGGTGTTGGGAGGAAGAGATAACAGAGAGGAGAAGGAAACAAATGGTTAAGTGTATGAGGTTATAATTGTCATTTTAACATTTAAATTGGTCAATATAAAAGTCAAAGGGTAAAAATATTAATTCATTACCATTGGGGTGTCTTTGGTAGCTATATCAAACTTGAGGGGGTGTCATTGTCTCAAAATAGGCCAACTTTCAACTGAGTGTCCTTTTGACAAACCTCAAGGGGTGTCAATGTACTTTACCTCTTTTTTTAAGAACAAATTTATGATAAATTCTAAAAAAACAAAAATTAAGTATAATAAAATATTTAACGAATATAATAACAAAAATATTGTATATGCATTAAAACGACACTTAAAATAATTTAAAAACTACACTTATGCACGAGTTGGGAAAACTACAGTTGCTACACTTAAGTAGATTTAAGAGTCTTTAATAACAAATCAGTCTATATTTAACGTAAAATTTTCAATTTGGTTGAGTTAGGTAAAATAATTACATATGTATTAAAAACCATTGTTTAGGTCCAACATACCCCCAAACTCTTATTTTAAAATACCAAAAAATCCTTCCTAAATCAAATAATTATTTAATTTAGAAAAACAAGATATTTGAATTGACTTTCAACTTGGCATTTTTGCATATGGTGTATATATTGCCAAAATAAAATAAAAAAACAACATATATATATATATATATATATATATATATATTATTAATTTTGTGCAAAAAACTTTAACCATATCTCCTTATCTATATTCGTTCAAACCTGCAAATGTCAATTTATAAATATGCAAATAATTTAATGAAAATTCATTGTATATAGAATTTTTTTTTTGGGTAAGTGGAAATTCATCGTGTGTGTGTGTGTATACATATACGTAATTTTATATGCACGTAACTTTAATCATATCTCCTAATTCATACTAATATAAATCTACAAATGTGAAAACTTTCATATGAAAAAATATACACACACACATTAATTATACACATATATACAGATACAGTACACATGCACGGGAAAGGGAAATCATGAAAAAACTAAATGGTTGCTTAAGTAAATGGTATATCAACAATTATTATTTTTATTGATAAGACAAGTAATTAATTGAGCCAACATATTGATGATCATCTCAAGACATGCACCACAGGAAATTGAGCCACCATATTGATGATCATCTCAAGACATGCACCACAGGAAAGACGATTTATATATTCTTGAGTTTAATTATATTTTTCGTTTTGGGGACTAATCTTTGATTGCCCGATTTTTTGTTATATTGAATATTTTTTAATATTTGTATAAGTTATCATGTGTGTATATATATGAAAGTTGCAACAATATGATTCAAAGTTAAAGGAAAAATCTTGTTTTCCTAAATTTTTCAAGTAAATAAATTATTTTAAGAAAGTACTTGATTTATGGGCAATATTTTTTAGTAGTATTTTGGAATAAGTATTTAGAAGGCATTTTGGATCTAAACAATAGTTATTGATGCATATGTAATTATTTTACTTAATTCAACCAAAGTGAAAATTAAACATCTAAACTAGACCATTTTGTTATTTAAGGATCCTAATTATATGTAAGTGTAATTTTTCCTAAAAATTATAACTAATAAAACAATATATATTTATATATTTATTATTAATCGGTGGTGCATGGGGCTTAGTGAATTTTAAACACTGTTTTTAAACAATTCTCTAACTCTATTAGGGTGTGATTATAAACCCATCTTAATAGGCAGGACAGGGCGGGATCTTGGTGGGGCAAGTTAAATTGCAGGGAAGATGATTCGAGTTTCCATAACAAATACCCAAAGCAACTTTAGTTCGGTCAGGATTGCTGATAGAATAATAAAAATAAATAAACAAAACAAAACAAAACAAAACGCTTTTGTCATAACTTACATATTAAAGATGTTTGGTAACACATTATATTAAGTGTTTTTCATAATTAAATTATTTTAAAATTTATTTGGTAATAATATTTTTTTAAATACTTCTATTGCTAATTTTATAATTGTATCCTTTCATAGGATGTTACCAAATTTGACTTTAAAATAAAAAAAGAACAAAATTGTGTAAGGAAAAAGAGTTACCTAAAATATTTAATCTTTACTCAAAACCCAACACAATTTTTCGTTTGTTTGGATGTAAAATATTTTTCAGAAAATAAAATATTTACAAGGAAAAAATATTAAAATATAACCAAAATAACTTACCCATCAATTTTAGACAAGTTATTTTACACGTCCACTGATGGACTCGAGCTCAACCTTGACATAAACTTTTGTCAAACACCCAAAAATTAAAATAAAAAAAATATATTTTTACCTAAAAAAGGATAATATTTTCCGTGGTAACAAATGGAACATTAAAAGCTCCAAATTATAACTTCATTCAAAAGTTCTAAGCTAAAATTAGTAACTATTAAAAATGTTTTAAGTGATATTTTTTTTATTATTTTATTATTATTATTATTTAAAGTTATCCTGCCTCCACTGCTGCCTGAACCCTAACTTAAGGGCCTGATACATTGAACCACTGCCTGTTGGTAAGAGCTTTTAATGATTACCAAATACATTTAAACACAATTTTTAAAAGGGCAAAGTGAGAAAAACACCCTAATGTTTAAATTTTGGGCAAATATTACGCCTAACATTTTTTTTAATTTTTGGGTATATAAGTGATTTAAGTTTGAAAAAATGATCAAAAATACAAAATTTCGAAAATACCCTTTTTCTCTTCAAATAATGCCATTATATATAAAAAGAGAAAGAAAAAAAAAAAGAGGTACACTTTAGTCATTTCACATTTAATTATTTTTTTATCCTTTTTTATTCAGGTATAGAGAGGGACACTTTAGACTTTTCAGCATTCAGATCCTTGCTCAAAAATTGAATGTAATGAATTTTTCAGCTCCTGTTGAAGAGGTCTTGTGTTGTGCCTCAAAACTACAACATTTGAGGCATAA